CAGGTGGTGTAATGATGCAGATGTATGATGGTACAGGTGGTGTGATGGTGCAGGTTGTGTGATGGTACAGGTGGTGTGATGATGCAGGTGTATGATGGTGCAGGTGGTGTGATGGTGCAGGTGGTGTGATGATGCAGGCGGTATGATGGTGCAGGTGGTGTGATGGTGCAGGTCGTGTGATGGCTCAGGTGATGAGATGATGAAGGTGATGAGATGATGCAGGGTGATGTGGGGATGCAGGTGGTGAGAGGATGCAGGGTGAGGTGTGAGGGCACAGTGTGGCCTGTTGCATGCAATTGTGATTATGCAGGTGGTGTCATGAGGCAGGCAGTGTGAGCAGGCAGGTATCATGAGGCTATTGGGTGGCATGATGCATTCAAAGAAGGATCTCAGCACACGGTAAGGTGGTATTTTTATAAGCAACTCTAGAGACAGAACTTTGAGCACGATTTTATAGAAAAGAAAAGTGAATGTTGGAGAAGTTTCACAGCCTTCACGCTGCAACAAGGGGTTCAAATTCAAACTCTACTTTTGAAGCCACCCAGCAGCCGCCCCCACAAGCTCCTGAGGATGTGTGTAGGTGTGACAAGCTCCACGCTGTATGTCATGTCCTTCTTCCATGCCTTAATTAAAACTCTGTATGTTAATTTTCCCTCACTTTTAAACTCAAGGGTCATTCATAGCTCGTTGACAATAGAAATCCAACAGTTCCCCCCCATAGTAAACAATAATTAGCCAAACTAACATTTAGTTTGATAAACTTAATTTACAGAAAGCCTGCATCTTACATTAACCCAGGGATTATCCGCTCGACAATTTCTTGAGAAATCCATGAGGTGTGGGGCTCCACGAGAGACTCGCACAGTGTTATACATAAGCTAACCTGGTCTACTCTGATGGGCACCTGGTGCCCCCTGGAGCTTCTGCTTTGTTCTCAACTTCCAGAAAATAATCATAAAACTTTAAAGTATAGGCTTCTTATTTTGCAGGCAGAAAATATTAATTTACCCGCATGTAACAGCACAGGTTAATTGACCACCCTACTCTCTGGTTTCAGAGTCTCTGCACTGTTGACATTTCTTTCTCACTGGACCAGCACCCTACAGACACCAGCTTGTGCCAGGTGCAGAGCTGAGACCCTAGGTTGCACCTGTAGCTCATGGAGGAGCACCCACCTGAACTGTCCACTAAGGTGGCTTCCCCACCCAGTCCTCTCTGTCCCTTATTTCATGGGAGGATACAGACCAGCAGACCTCTGATACAGGCTGTCATTTAGGATCCAGGTCTTTCCGTGTTTTGGGCTTCCAGAGCCTCTGCAGCCACCCATCACTGGGAGAGAGGAGAGGCATCTGGGGTTCCTGAGTCTGGAAGGAGCCCTTCTAACTGAGCAGAGCCCACATTTTCAAGATGACTGACAATATGAGTCCAGCTGTACATGGAGAAAAGTTGGGCCTCATTTGGGTCTCATTGCATCTGGGCCATGGCTTCCTCAAAGGGTTGATGGGGTGATGGAGCCTTTACGACGCTTGCTATGTCAGATTCAGGGGGATTGTCTATGTCATGCCCTTTCATATGTGGTCATATGAAACCACAGAGGCTGTCAGGTGTTCTCTCTTCCTTTCAGATGCCAGCAGGAATGAAGGAGGCCATATATAACATGCGTGCACAAGTTCACATGTGCTCACAAGTTCTTAGGGAATGGTTGAAGTCGTCTGGCATGTGCCCTTCCTCATGAGGGTAGACGGCAATGAAGAAGGCCAGGTGTTTTCAAATGCTACAGTGTTTCTTATGCAGATATTTCTAATCTGTTTAATTGTGCCCCTTTAAATGTGGGCACTGTGTCATAGCTATGACCTGTGAATACATACCTCAAACCAGGCCTCCTGAGGGACTTAGGAAGACATGTAGAGAGCTGGGGTACTACTGCAGGTGGGGTATAATGTTGACAAGAACTTGGCCGTTTCTCTCAAGCCTCAGCTCTTCTGAGAGTGCCCCACCTTCTCATGACTCTCTGCAGGACCAAGCCCAGAGTCTCTTGCCTCGTACTTCCTCACATTTTCTCCTCATTCTATTTCACAAAGTCCTGGCCTTGTTGAGTCATCAGGGCACTGTGGATGATGAAGGAGGGGGAAGAATATGCCTGGATCAGTGTGGAGCCTCTATAGATTAGAGAGAAACGGGGTGTTGGCTGAACCTCATCACTTCCGTGGTCATGACAGTGTCCTGTGCTCTCTCACTGTCAGAGTGACACAGGAAACCCTCAGGATGCCACTGAGAGAGTTCATCCTCAGAGCAGGAGGGGCAGAGGCAGGAGTAGAGTCAAGTGGCCACAGGACAGAGTATGCCCCAGTAGGCCCATGAGGTCCCTGGGAGATCCTCTGTGGGGCCAGATTCATAGGCTTTCCCTCCTAATCAGACAAGGAGAAACAGCTATGGTTGAGAACTCCCCAGAGCAAGAAGCCCAGACATTCCTGCTGAACGTGGTACTCATGGAGCCATGGAACTAAAATAGGCTGATGGAAGGGAGCCCTTAGAATGCCAACACCTATGGCATGAACTCTCTGTTTTTTTGACTATCCCAAGAAGAGGCTGGGTCTGGGCTTGGTCCCCTGTCAGAGACATAAAGAGGGACAAAGTACAGGGCATACAGGGCATAGCCAGTACCACATGTAGAGGTCCAATGGCAGGCACATGTCTGGGACTGGTGAGCACAAATCTACTCCAGGGTGGGTCCTGATGCTGTGCCAATGTGGGGGTATAGGATCCTCCCTCATGAACCCTAAGTTTTCTCCACTAGGAGTTAGACTCAGCTTCTGTCTCAGGCTGGTTCCACATAGTTCCTGAGGGGCCCCTGTTCTGTTTCCGAGGGTGATGATCAGCATCATTTGCCCGTTACCTTGGCATTTGCTGTAGGACACCAGGCTGCGTCTCTGACCTCCTGTTTACTGGGCTTCCCCAAAGCCACAGAGCTTCTGCTTCCATATGGCAGGGCCAGAAACACCTGTGATATTAGATGCCAAGTTCACTGCACACACACACACACACACACACACACACACACACACACACACGCACAAACACACACAGTGCAAGGCAGCTCATCCAAGGGTAGGTAGGTATCAAATTGTCTAGATATATTCACACAACACTCAGCCCCTTTAGCCCCTTGATTTTTGTGTAAATATTTTCCTAATACAATTTCTAAGTTTGAGCAAAAGAGACAGCATTATTGGAAACTTCCTAGGCTTAGGTGAAACTATTTGCATGAAAGGGTGTGTTAGGAGGTAATGCTCCCACCATTATTACTAGTTGGATTTAAATTGCATATAAATTAAGATCCTGAAATGAGGATAAATGTAGCATAATAAGTTGTAGGTTTTATTCTCTGTAACTGTACAGAAAATACTTTAATTTAAAAATTTCCATAGTTAAATCTTGCTTTTAAGGCACTATCTCAGAAATCAACATCTCATCATTTCTTTCTCTTTCTTCGTGAAATAATTTTTTCAGCACCTCAGAAGTGTCCACGTATGTTGTGCTCGATTTGGCAGCACATATGTACATTTAACAACACGCATGCACTCAATATTTCCATGGAGGGCTTTTCAGACTTTTGTAGATCATCTCTTCCTCTCCTAGACTTGGAGGCACATGCTGTGATTTAACCCTCACATGACATTGGCTCTAAGAACTGAAGTCATCTGACATTTACTGTGGTCCCGGCAGCCGTGAAGAGGATTGCCAGGGCTCAGAGTTGAGAGGGAAAAGGTAAGACTGATGCCTCACCCAGAGTCCTAATGAGCTAACCCAGACCTTCGATGAGCCGACAGCCTACTGTGCAGCTCTGGGTTCCCGGTGAGCAGACACTTCGTAGAACCTTAGCATGTTGTCCTGGGTCCCCTGTGAGTGTGCACTCCACAGAACCCTGGCATCCCACCCTGGGTCCCCTATGAGCATACACTACACAGAACCCTGGCATTCCACCCTGGATCCCCTATGAACGTACACTACACAGAACCCTGGCACCCCACCCCAAGTCCCCTATGAGTGTACACTACACAGAATCCTGGCATTCCACCCTGGGTCCCCTATGAGTATACACTGCACAGAACCCTGGGATCCCACACTGGGTCCCCTATGAGTATACAGTGTACATAATCCTGAACCCTGTTTCTAAGAAAGTGCTTCCTTGCAGCATCACACCTAGAATGAGGCAAAACCACTTCTGGGATCATGCCTAGGCAGAGCAAAGCCAGGTCCACAGTGAGGCAGGTGACACTCCCCAGGTTCAAGCGAGGACCAGAAGCTCTGACACGATGCCTTCTGCCTGCTCCCCACCAGAGACCCTTGTCTTGACAAACAGCCATGCAGAGCAAGCCCCAAGCCCCCAGTGGATCTTTGTCTTAGTTACAGTTTCTATTGATGACCACGGCAGAAAGCTCCGTGGGGAGGAAAGGGTTTATTACATCTTACAACGTACAGTCCATCATCTAGAGAAGTTGGGGCAAGAACTCGAGGGAGGAACTGATGCAGAGACCAGGGAAGAGTGCTGATTACTGGTTTACTCATTTAAACTTGCCCACCATGCTTTCTTATGACACCAATGACCACCTGTCCAAGGGTGGCATCGCCTAACCAAGGGTGGTACCACCTATCCAAGAATGGCAGCACCTATCCAAGAATGGCAGCACCTATCCAAGAATGGCGGCACCTATGGTGAACTGGGCCCAATGATCAGCAATCAATCAAGAAAATGCACCACAAGCTTTTGGAGTCATTTTCTCAATTGAGGTTTCCTCTTCCAAAATGACCAAAATGACATAAAACTAGCCAGCACAGACTTGGCATCCATACTCCTACCTCCCTACCGCAAACCTGTTTCAGATCCCTGCCCTGAGTCTGACTCTTAAATGTGAAATTCACTGTGTCCCAGAATTTTCTCAGGTGCATGCTGGGTGCATATGGGAAGAGAGGTATCTTCTACATCCTGAGTTGGGACCTGACTTCAGGGCTGACGGAAGCTGAGAAGCAAGAGCATGCACAGCACCTGTGAGGACTGGAAAGCTCAGCAGCCGTGGATGGGGAGTTTGCAGCAGCCCTTATGGGAACCATCTGCCCAGACCACGAACCACGTCTTATTCCTAAATAACCCCAAAGAAACTGGATCCCACCCCAGAAAACTTCAATGGAGTTCTCTCTTCTGCTCAGTGTCTTCAGCTTCTGCCTTCGTAGGGAGGTATCAGAAAGAGGTTTCTGAAGTACATGCTGTCCTTTTTAGCCATTCCTGGGTGAGAACACCCTTGCCCAACAGCAAGCCAGGCAGGAGTTGGCAACAGTGCCTCCATGCTACCCTCCTTGGGGTGTGCAGAGATGGTCACGTGTGTAGTCAGGGCCAAGAGCGGTGCTTCACGGGGCAGGGAGTAGGTGATACAGTGTTTGCATGTATCACACCTGTGAAAACAGCATGTTGGGAAATAGCATGGCATAGCTAGGATATGAGGGGCTTTTAGTTGGGTGGAGGGGCTCCTGGTTACTGTTGGTTTCCTTGGCAGGTGAGTCACAGCCTTCAAATTGTTCCCATAATCACCTTCCTTCTGATTCGGGCTCCCCCCTTCTTCCTGGTCTTTGGACCCTGAATGTCAAGGCCCACCTCGGCTCATCTCCCCATCTCTTGATCTATAACGCCATCACACCTGCAAAGTCCCCTTGGCCACCGACAGACACTAGCATAACTCTCAGGGTTGGGAACCAGGGCATCCCTGGGAGCCATTACTCTGCTCCAGAGATGAACACAGGTGGAATTTTCTCGTCACCCCAAATTCATGGAGTGGGGTGCCTGTTTGTGCAGCCTTTCGTTCTCTCCCTAAGCTGTTGCGGATTTCACAGAAACAGAACAATGGCTGTCACATGCTGTCGCGAGGGAGCACAGCATCCTCTCTTCAAGATCAGAAGGATGTAGCAGGGAAGCGCTGTGGGTACCTCCTGCACACTGTGACATCAAGGTCGCTGTGATCCAGGCACATTGTGGTGACAGTGACATGCTCAAGGTCGCTGAGCCCAGTGTGAGGCGAGGAGGAAAGCCCCCACCTTCCCGGGAAGCAGCGCTCATGAAAGGCATGCATTTTGCTCTCAGATTTTAAAGCTCCTTTTACCTGCTGTGACACGTACTCGCGGGCCAGGAAGAGCCCTGTGTTTCCAGCCATTTCCACACTGTGACACCGGGGACGTGCCCACCTTGCTAATTGGGGAGGATTAAATGGAGCAGCCAGCACAAAGCCTGCAGCAGCACTGTTTCAGAGCGGGAGCTGAGCTGACAGCAGCCTTCCCCTTCCTCCAGGCATGTCCCTGGCAGAGCCTGCCTCCCTCACAAAGGCAAGAGGCCACACTGCCTAGGAATGGTGTCTTCCCACCTGCAGATTCCTGCTTCTCCCAGCCCGGAATAGCTCAAGTAGGCTGTGACCTCGGCAAGCACCCTTGAGAGAGTCTCGAGGCGCCTTGAGAAATTGCACAAGAGGCGCTCTGCATCTGGGCTGGATCTATTATTCATGCAAGCGTGTTTCAGCGAGCTGGGTAATTTAGAGCCTCTTGGAGAGTGCTCTCTGCAGCAGCCATAAACCACGTTCCCAGTGCTCCAGGGGAAAATTACCTTTCCATTGCTCCAGCTAGGGGTCATATCAGAGATTTCACCCAGGGAAGTGAGGGCTGAGGAGGGGCCCAGACAGTCCAGGGCTGGAGGGCCCTCCGGAGCCTACGCTGGGGACATCTCGGCCTGTCGCTTCCCGGATGACCTCTGGAGCTTGAGCTTCCTCACTGCGGAATGAATGCTGACGGCTGCAGATGCCTAGCAGCCAGGCTTGTGCAGGAGGAGCCCAGCTCCCGCTCTCTACTGGGAGCCTCAACTGATCTGCTGCCTCTGGCATCGGTGCCCCAGGGTCATGGATGCCTGTCTTTCTGACTCGGGATCCAGGACACGGGAGGCACAGTGACAGGCACCCGGAAGCACAGACCCACCAAATGCCTATCTCTCTCCATCTTCACAAAGCTGTCATCTTGATATATTTAAAAACCTACAACAAATACAGATGCACAGATTCGTCCCCCCCCCTCCCCAGAAAGTAGAGCATCGACACTAACATGCGCCGCTCACACATCCCAACGAGCAGGGACGCATGCAAAGAAGAAAGCATTAGCGTCCGTTTTCAGACATCAGAGACATGATGAGAACCCGAGGCCAGCGCTGGCTTCGGGCTTTATTTTTAGCGGTGAGAACGTGGCACATGTGGTGTGGCTGCTTCCCCCTCTTCAGTGCAGCGCTGCTGTCATTTCATCCCACAAATGTTTGGCTGCTCTACAGAACAACAGCTCTCCCACCCCACCCGGCCAACATGCTGGGCAGGAGCTGGATAAATCTCCAGGTGCCCGGGTCTGTGGCAGGCGCTGCTCTCCGCCACCGCACTGCTGGCATGACTTGGGCTCTCCAGGGCGTTCTTCATCCAACAGGCCTGGCTGCTTGCATCTTATCTCACTCCTTCAAGCCTGGATGTGACACTTCCTCGGGCTCTCTTGTGCCCGTGGCTGTCGGCTGGTGACAAGGACATCTGTGGGGATGCAGACCCCGGGGTGAGAGGGAAAGCGGCTGCGAGCTGAACACCTGCAGTCCCAGTGGGGCCAGCGCTGCCACCTTAGGTGTCAGGAGGAGTCCGGGATGCCAGTCAAAGGCTGACATGCAGTTGGGCTCTCGCTGAGTTTCTGCCAGCTTGGGGGCCTCCAAATCATGGCCCTGTCACTGCAGGGATGGTGATGTTCCCCTGGGGCGCCAGAGTGACAACCCAAACCTCATCCTTTAATTTCTCAGGCCTTTGATTGTTCTATTTTCCGTCTATTAAAAAAGGAATAACCCATCTGGTCGGAAAATGTTGTGAATGTACTAAATGCCACCAAACTGTTCACCTTGAAAGAGAGGGTTTCTATCTCAATAAAGAAAACTGTGTGGCTCAGTTGGTAGGGTGCCTGGCCAGCATGCAGAAAGCCTGGGGTTCAGTTCCCAGCACTGCATAAACTGGGCATTGTGGTATACACCTATGATTCCAACACTCGGCAGTTGTTGGAAGGAAACCCGAAGTTCAAGAGTTCAAGGTTGTCTTTGGTTACAGACTGAGTTTGAGGCTAGTCTGGGTTACAAGAGACCCTGTCTCCAATAAGATAAAATGAAATCTAAAAGAAGAAAAAGAATATGTAAAATAGATAACCGAGACTTTGAGATCTTTAGAACTGTGCAGAACCTCAGAGGCCATCTGGGCAAACAGCCTTATCTGCCGATGGCAACTCAGGCCACACCCAGGATCATAAGAGAGAAGGATACTGAAGCCCAGCACCTCCATTCCGGAATCAGGATCCCACTCTTTAATGTTTCCATGTTTCTTCTTTAGGTGCCTGTCTAAACAGGATCCTGATTGGCTGCTTAGTTGTTGTTATTCTTTGACCCTCTGGACTAGGTGCTGGACTGAGTCGCCTTGCCTGATAGCTGTTGTTCCCCACGGATGCCACTCTGTGACAAAACGCACCAATCCCTGGGCTCCTTTGTGTTTAGGATCACGATGAGCAGTTGTGGACGTTCATCCCCTGATTCTGCTCTGCCTACTCCTGTGGCCAGGAGTCCTGACCCTCAGGGCTCGGTTTAAGGATCCCATGGCAGCTCACTGCTCCTCCCAGAGAGGCCAGAGAGACTGGAGTGTGGTTCAGAAACTAGAACAGAAGGTGACACTTATGAGGGGGGCTCCAAGGGACTGACTCTTGAAGAACTGCAAGACACCTCCTATCTTTCATAGCAGGACTTCCTGAGAGCAGCGGGAAAGTCGGTTACCAAGAGTGAGGGCATCAATGCCAGTGGGCAGTGCGCTGCTGTTCCTAGGCTGGGCTAGCAGCTGGCCTCCTCATAGCAGCGATGTCCTAGTGAGGTCACTGTGGCTCCAGTTACAAAGGGATATTGATGCACCTGGTGTATGATAAGCGTGGCCCAGCCCTGTGGCTGCCAGCCAGAAGCTGCTGGTTGTCATGACATCCTAGGAGTAGGTACACAGGTACTCCAGGGATATCAAGGGGTGAGGGTGTATCCAGGGTGGGTCATGACCTCTGTTGGCTCAGGACTTGAGAGTCCCACAGAAGACTGCCTCCCTATTCCCAGAAGTCAGACAAATGAATATCTTGTGTCAGGGGGCTGGGTGTGTGTTGGGGGTGGGGTGTCATGGAGGTGAAGGAGGGGAAGGTCCAGGAGGAAAGAAAGCAGAGGCATATCCTATGTGGGGGCGGGGATTAGAGAGAAAGCAGGAGAACGGGGGGGGGGGCGCAGAAACACTGAAGTGGGGAAGGAAAGAGAAACACTAAGGTGCAAGGTGCGGAAGGGAGCAGGAACATGGAGGGAGAGGGGGAGCAGGAGCACTGGGGTCTGGGAGGAGGCAGAATCACCAAGGGGCAGAGCACAGGGTTGTAAGGAGGAAACAGGAACACTAAGGCTGGGGGAGGAAGCCGAACCCTGGGGTGGTATGGGGCAGCGGGAGAGGTGAAGCAGGACCACAAGATGGTGGGTGGAGGTGGGGAGTGGGGGACTCTCAACAGAGGAGAGGCTAGGGTGGGCTTCCCCATACCAAAGCAGCAGGCAGGTGAGCTGTTGGTGGTACCTAGGGGAATCTACTCCAGTGAGGCTGGCCTGGGTGATACATGTCAGAGTGACCAGACAACAGAGAAGGTGGCAGGCAGATGTGGTGTGAATAAGATTGACCGAGGGGCTGAGTCTGAGGCTTGGAAGCTGAATTACAAGGCAAGGTTGTCACATAGGGGCTCTCTTTTCTGTCTGTTCCTACCTTCAAGGGAAGCAGCAGATCCAGCACAGGCCCGAGTCTAGTGACACTCCCCTAGCTCTTCGTTCTGTCCTCGGGGCCTGCAGTGAGGTTGATGCAACCTGTAAGCTCTCATGTGCTCTGATAACTACTGGGCTGTACTGAGAAGGTGAGCTGCGGGGTGGTGTACACAGGTGGTCTCGTTGTCTGGAGATCAGAATCCCCTCATTGGATACTTCCTTTCACTGGCCCCACCCTAACTGTTTAATTTGCGTATTTATTCCACACCAGGTGATTGTGTCTCCCTTCAGGTGTGGTGGAGCAAGTACTCACACGCTGTGTGAGATTGTAAGGCTAAAAGGCAATTGCAGAGAAGCGGGGAGGAAAGTAGTCCCGAGGACCACAGTAGTATTAGGGTTCCTGTGGGCACGGCATGGCTCAACAATGCCAGTGTAAGAGAGTAACCGAGGTGCCCAGCAGAGGGTTCCAGTGGGCATGGCGTGGCCCAACAATGCCAATGTAAGACAGTAACCCAGGTGCCCTGCAGGGGATGAATAGACAATGAAAGTGTGGGGGCACAGAGCGCTTGGGGCTTAGGACTTAAGAGGGCAGTGAGGCAGATTATCCTTTTGGGTAACAGAGCAATTAGGAGAGTTATTAATGCTGTAGAAAGACAGACACCGTGGTGGGAACTCTGAAGAGACTCAGGTCCCCAGGGCAGAGTAGAAATCCCTTCTCATGGGTTCCAGAGGAGGGAAGGTGTTCGATGCCCCGTGACTAATGATTAATGCATAGGGCGTACTTGCCATCGGGCTGTGAATGAATCAGATATGAGACTGGGAAGAGGAAAGTCTAAAAACACAAGCTACCGTAATTCTGGAAACCAAAAGACTGTCATTTCAGGAGCCATCCCAGTTTGACCAAAACGGAGGACCTTTCTGAAAGGCTTTGGCCCTTACTAACAGTATGCATATGCATGCACGTGCGTGCATGCATCCATGCGTGGGTGTGTGCGTGCATGCATGCGTGCGTGTGTGCAACCTAGAACAAGATTCAACCTCGAAAAGACAAGGAATCCTGGACAGGATGAAGGTAGGTGACACCATGATGTGTGGCCAAGATAGTCATCTTACCTGTAGATGAGTTACACTATGACTTACATCTTACATCTTACACTATGTACCCGAGTGTACTGCACACTGGAGCCGGGGTAGGGAGCAGGCCCCAGTCTTCACCTAAGATGGATGAAGATGGATATGGAGCTCAGGTGCCTTATGGGTGAGTGGTGTGCAAAGCGATTAGTACATGTGTACGTGTATCAAACCATCCCACCGCATACTTTGAACACGCACGATCTCTGCCAATTATTTTAAAATCTCATAAATATTTTAATTATTTTGAAATCTTTGTCAATTATTTTAAAACCTCATAAATATTTTAATTATTTTAAAAATTATTTTTAAATCCTCATGAATAAAGCAGAAGGCGAGCCGGGTCATAGCAGGATGTTTACAAACACAAATAACATGATAAAAATTAGTAGAAAAGTAGGGAGAATAAACAAAGGGAGCGGGAGTTTTGT